TGTGTTTAAAAGCAACTAACGATTATATTGATGCAAATTGATTAGTTAGTTAGTCAGTCACTAAGAATCTTACGTAGTTTTAGTTAGAAGATTAACCATTTAATTTTTGCGAAATCAATCTTTTTTTGAGCACTGATCGGGACCGGCCCATCTTCCCACCGACCCACCGGGAATTTTTCCGTTTTCCCATATGGCCCATCCACCCCTGATTAAGTCTATCCGTAAACTCAATAACCATCAATTCGAAATTTGTCAAAGGCAAAGAAAATCCTACTCCTAAAGTTCTCCTACTCTGGTTGTCAGCCCACCAAGGGCAGAAGGTAATGAAAAAGCGAGTGAAAAAGCAAACAATCTAGCTAGAAACACTGTAAAAAAAATGAGTGAAATTTCACTCAGATTTCACTCAATACTTTCTCAATTTCTGTCCACACCCGATTGAGTGAAATTTCCACTCTACAGAACCGAGTGAATCTTCAATTCTCAGAGTGAAAAGCACTGAGTGTTTTCACTCAATCGAGATTAGACGAAAGACTCCTTTTTTACTCATTATTGTTTACCTTGAGTAGGATTTTGATCGATTTTGATAATTTATTCACTTTAAAATGAGTGAACTCACTAAGTGTTGAGTTCAAGACACCTTTTATTGAGTGACTTTTACTCAAATTTGTGTTACACTTAACTCGATTAGTACTCATATCTGAGTATTAATTTCACTCAGTATTGAGAAATATATTCTAAATTATTTTTTTAAAAGCTATATGTAAGCTAACTTGTTATTTTATAACAGGTGGGCAGGTGCCTTTCAAAGGTAAGTTTCAGTTTAGGACATGGTCTCGAACATGTCCATTTCCTAAAATTCACTTTTGGGAGGCATCTGGTCACTTGTAATAAAATAACAAGTTAGCTTACATAGCTTTTAAAAAAATCATTTAGAATATTTCGTTTTTTTTAACAAACCAAATAAAAAACTGTAGAACCTTCAAAAATATTTTTATTTGTCATTTTTATTTGACAAAAAAACAAATAAAACCAAATATAACACTATTATTATAATATCAAAAACATTTTAAAAAGTTTTCAACTCTTTTTGGAAAAAATACAGGAACTTTTTAAGCTAGATGTCTAGAAAAGTTGCATCACATCGCAAAAATCCGCTTTATTAAGAGCATTCGTCAGCTCGGCTACCAACATTCTCGAATATTTCTAATTTCTAAACTAACTTTTAATAACGAAAATCCTCCGGAAAATCCAGATACTTTTCCTCCTGAAAATTAAAAAAAAATGTTATTCTGCCAAATGTTCCAGTTCCCAGTTCCAGATTGAGGGAAAGTACCTAGATTTTCGCTACGCTAATTAGTCCAGGAAACATCCGAGCATTGCGGCAATCAGTAGACGCAGTCGAATTTGAATATATGTTAGGCGGATTTCTGCGATGTGAAAAAAAATGTTCTTAACATAAAACATATTTAGGAGTTATGAGTTCGTATTCGCTTCACCACGCCACGCGGCCACTGTCACACTTTACATCACACACACATACACTATGGACTTGTAACCTGGGCACCTTCGAAGGAACAAGACAACCTACGACTCGAACAGATAATTAAAAACTGAGGAACAGGGAAATAGCTTATTCGGTATCGAAGAAGCGCGTATGACGTATGATTAGTAATGAGCGAAAATACTCTAAACTGGGTGATTTCACTCAAATTTTTATTGTGTAAAACATAACATGAGTTTTTAAGTGAATTTTTTCTATTCCATTACTCAAAGATAGGGGTTATAACTCGAACATGAGCTTATTCAATAGCTATTGATTAAATAGAGATCATATTTGAGTAAAATGATGAATTTACTCTATTTTAGATAAAAATGTACTCAATTATTTCACTCAAAAAATTCACTCCCTGAGAAATATGTGTTCACTCAGGCTGATTTTTTACAGTGAAAGGAGCGAACACTCTCTCCAACTGGACCAGAACCGTTCTGCTTCCCAAGTAGTAACCAGCTTACAGAACTAAATTAACTTAAATAATAATATAATTAATAACTTATTAACTCAAGAACTAAATTTAGGAAGTTGGAAGACTCCATCTGTAACATGGAATGGGAATCCTCCAACGGTTTAAATCACTCAAAGAACTTCCTCAGGACTTACGACCGAGAATAATCAAATTTTCCTTGATTTAAGTAAGGACAATTTTCGGATTGTCACTGGGTTTATAACAGGACATTGTCTCTTCAATGAAAAGCTCAGTAGAAAGAAGCTAAGAAATAACGGCGAAAGCAAATTCTGCGGGGAAAATGGAGAAGCACCAGAACACGTCATCATTGAGTGCGCGGAGACGATAACCATTCGTGTAATAAACTTTGGTACGACTGATATGAGATGGAAACTAACCTCTGGAAAACTGTCTCAGATACTGGCTTTTGTCAAAGTCCTGAGACTGTATCTTAGAGTGCCATACTATATACGAGCGTCGGCTACTTCTCGCAAGTACTTGTGATGTGTGTCATCAGTGTTTCACAAGTACACAGGACCTACATTTTATCGCCGAATCCGAACGGCACTATTTGAGAGGCTGTAAGGGGCAAATGTACTCGCAAGGTGGTTTGTCATTGCCTTCCTTGAGGTGGCGGCTCGCTGGTCGCTCTATTTAGATAAATCAATATTTTTATTCAAATAAATAAAGCGATCGACTGTACTGGTTGGGGAACCAACTACTACGATAATAAAGTCAATACAACATCTTGCATACGTCCACTCTACCGGGTATTTATTATTACTTGTATTTAGCATCGTCGTTGGAAACGCAGGAAATCCCATGCAAATTTTGAACTGTCCAAATATTGGCTGCCCTATTAATGCCCACTTGCACCGTTTGTATAAACTTTGTTTAAAGGCTAAACAGCGATTAACTATAATAAGATATTATACAGGGTGTTTCAAAACAAATGCGAAAAACTTCAGGGGCTGATTCCTTGTTCAAAATAAAGGGTAGTTAAAATCAATCATTAGGGAGATATCGCGTTACAAAGATGGCGGAAAAATAATGTTTTAATTTTTTATCTTGAAAACGAAAAGAGATGGACTAATGAAATTGTATGGAAGCATTAGTGTTATGAAAACACACTTTCTGGTAATTTTCTCACTTTTTTAAAATGAGTGGAAGGGGTTGAAATAAACTACTCCTATTATACTTGTTAACGAAATTTAAAGAAAAATCTTATCAAACACATGCAAAAAAATTAATTTGGATAGTCTAGTTTGTTTAGAAACTTTTTTATCTCTTGTGTTTTTTTGATAAAACTCACCGATTTGAAATTAAAAAATAAAATGTAAAGCATTACCCCATGCCAGGACAAAAAACATTTTTATTTTTTAATATGTACTTTTTTTATTATTTTTCTTTCATGAATTAAAAAACAGAATTAAAAATTGTTTGGTAAATAATTTTTAAGAGGTTATCGTTCAGAAGAAAATGTAACGATATTATTACGAAATATAACTGTTTGACAGCAGCCTACTAGATTCTTTATCCAAAAATGTTTTTTGTCCTGACATGATTGTAATGCTTTACATTTTATTTTTTAATTTCAAATCGGTGAGTTTTACCAAAAAAACACAAGAGATAAAAAAGTGTCTAAACAAACTAAACTATCCAAATTTTTTTTTGCATGTTTTTGATAAGATTTTTCTTTAAATTTCGTAAAAAAGAATGATAAGGGTAGTTTATTTCAAACCCTTCCACTTATTTTAAAAAAGTGAAAAAATTACCAGAAAGTGTGTTTTCATAACAGTAATGCTTCCAACAAATTTCATTAGTCTATCTCTTTTCGTTTTCAAGATAAAAAATAAAAACATTATTTTTCCGCCATCTTTGTACCGCGATATCTCCCTAATGGTTGACTTTTGACCCAACGTTTATGAAGCAAACTACCCTTTATTTTGAACAAGGAATCAGCCCCTGAAGTTTTTCGCATTTGTTTTGAAACACCCTGTATAGTTAATCGCTGTTAGCCTTTAAACAAAGTTTATACAAACGGTGCAAGTGGGCATATATCTACAGCTAAGCCGTAAATAGGGTTTTTAAAGGTCTGAATATGGCTGAATATACACTTTGAACAATTTTGGACAATCCGATATTAAGGAATTTAAGAAATACTGAATCTATTTTTAAATTAAAACTGAACAGGTAACAATGCAAAACCAGGCAAATGCAAACGTACCTTAAGTTGTCATCCAATAATTTTGGCAATGTCAAATTACATTTTATAAACGCCTGTTTTTTGCCCTATTCGAACCAGTTTTAAATTACAAAAATATATTCCGGGAACACTAACCGTAGGAATTAAAACGCAGTTAGTGTAGACACTACAACAAATTACATTTGACAATGATGAAATCATGGGTTGACAACTTATGGTATGATGACATTTGCTTCGTTTTGCATTGTTACTTGTTCAGTTTTAAATTAAAAATAGATGCAGTTTTTCTTAAATTACTTAAAATCTGCTTGTTCAAAATTGTTCAAATTTGGCATGTGTATTCAGCATAAGTCGCCCTTTAAAAAAAATATTTACGCTTAATTAATATGGGAGCCAATATTTGGACAGATCAAAATTTGCATGGGATTTCTTTTTTTTTTACTTTATTTAAGAAAATGAGCTATAATGAACTTTTTCATTATAACTTACATATGTAATATTTCATTAATTTAAAATAATACCCTCTATTCATTAAAGGACGACAATTATTTAATTTTTGAAAAACAAAAAAAATAATGTTCTCACAAAACAAAACTAGTTACCGAATGGAACAAGATACGAAAAAATGTCAAGAGATATTTTGTGAGTGAAATATGCTGAAGACTTTCTTAAAATCCCATGACTTTAAATTAAAAAGCTAGTTTCTTAGTCGCGTTACGATTTGGTCATTAATTTTTGGAGCACTGCATACAATTTTAATACAAAATTAAGTATTTCTGTTTATTTTTCAGGAAGTCGATCGCTTTCCGATTCAATCAAAACGGAAGCGGGCGTTGGAGTCGATACTCCCGAATCTGAAGATGGGAAGAACGACAAAAAAACGAAACGTCAACGGCGACAACGGACGCATTTCACGAGTCAACAATTACAAGAATTGGAGGCGACGTTTGCCAGAAATCGATATCCTGATATGAGCACAAGGGAGGAAATTGCGATGTGGACCAATCTAACTGAAGCTAGAGTTCGAGTGAGTAATTAAAATATTTAAAAATATACTATTAGATATATTTCAACCTACAATAACCAAGAAATATCTTTTTTAAGAATCATGAAAATCATTAGACTTTTGATAAATCGATTTTTTAAAGTAGTAAATAATTTTTATTAAAAGCAACCATTAAAAAATATAGTTTCAAATAAACAACTAAAATGAAATGTAAAACACGAGGTTCTTCACAAGCCATTGCTTAACATTTTAACATAAATTTCTTTCTGCCTACAAGCAGAGAAGGGTACATTACCATTATTGGATAATAAGAAATATTGACAAACTGCTCTCTTCATATCTAAATTTACTGTGATAATTTCAATCAAGAAGTTTTAGATTCGGAGAAGTTTTTGCAGAACGTCGGATTGTAGATTTAAATAAAAAAAAAAACATTTGCCTACATCAGACTGATCAGTAGAATCTAGTCCAATGCTCAAACAAAATCTGCATTAACGTGTTATTATTAGATATACAATAGGTTTAAATTCTATAGAGTATGATTAGTTTCAGCTTATTCAACCATTTCCAGTTATGGTGTAGCCTCCCTCACATATACTCTCTTTGTAGTTTGGCCCATTGTTGCTTATTGTTGCTATGCGGGCCCAAGTTATCCCTGCTAATTTCCTAATGTCATGGTCCCATCTCAGGTTCGATCTTCTTCAAGCTCTCTTAATTCCTCGTGGCATGCTGTAATCTTTGTGGTCCATCTGATGTCCGTTCTTCTTACCAGGTGTCCTGCCCATTGCCATTTGGGGGATTTTACTCTGTGGATGACATCTATTACCTTGATCTTTTGTCGTATCCACTCTTCTCTTTTACGTTCTCTCTTGGTTATTCCCAGCATATTACGTTCCATTGAGCGTTGTGCAACCTTTAGTTTCCATATGATGTCCGTTTTAAGTGTCCAGGTTTCTCAGGTAGGTCATGACTGGTAGTACACATTGGTCGAATATTTTCTTCTTTAGATAGAGTGGCATTCTAGATTTGAATATGATTGAGTTTCTTCCATAAGTACTCCATGCTAACTTAATTCTCCTGATTGATCTGTTGATTTCTGGTATTAGAGATCCCGAGCTCTGTATTAGTTGTCCTAAATATACATATTATTCTATTATTTCCAGTGTTGTGTTATTTCTAGAATGGCTTTTCTTTCCACTAGTTCGTTTCCACTATACATTGCTTTAATTTTTGCTAAATTCATTTTGAGATCCATTTTATTGCTGCCTGCATTTAGTTCATTAATTTGTGATTGTAGTTCTTCAGGCCTATTGGCAATTAGGACTATGTCATCAACGAATCTAAGATATTTTTCATCTATTTTTAAATCAGCTGCTCAGTCCAGTTGACGGAAGATTTCTTCTAATGTTGCTGCAAACAGCTTTGGGGATATCGCGTTTCCCTTCCGTACTCCTTTGCAGTTTGGGAAGTCTGGGGTTGTTTTATATATCATTACTCTTGCACTTCTGTCAAATATTGGCGAAAGTTTCTATATAAGGCCTGTCAATGCCTTGTTTCGTTAGTTCTCTAGAGTTTTATTTGTTACGATATATTATTTTAATGTATTTCGGTGATTTTTTATTCTTCCAGATAAGAGGAGTTGTTTTTGTTGATTCTGTCTTTCCATAGTGGTATGCCGGACCGCAAGTTAGCGACTATGTTATGTTTACGCGTGTTAGCAGTTGTAGGTCAAAAAGGTAAAATAATGACTTAAACGACTTAGCCCCTGAAAATTTTGAATAATCAGAAGCTAGAGAGGTTTTAAGAGTCTATTACGCTGTACTGTAAGGGTCGCTCTCAGGGGTCGGGTAAAGCGGGTGTGTGGCCGAAGGTAATAATATGTATATTATATTTCAGAAATCTGCCTAAGGCTTAGCCCGATCCTGTCGTGTTAAGCCACACCCAAAATTCCAAACACACGTGCTTTGATTAACGCTTGATTAAGGTTTTCAGAGCTTCAGCATTTGCCATAAAATAACGAGCAATTTGTTACAAAACCATATAAATTATATATCATTGTAAATCACAAAACTTCAATCTATTTCCTTATTTTAAATTATGTCTTTATTTTCGAGAAAATTTAGTCCAAACATAAGGAATATTTTGTTGATGTTTGACCATCAAAATCTTAAAAATAAAGAAGTTGCTACAATACGGATATAGTATAATCCTTTATCTTTAATTTCCTTCTTCATTTGTGGTAAAAATACCAAGCCAGTTTTACCAAAACGTTAAATGCCGATCGCTTATTTTGCTACTTTCTCGGGCTAGTGAAATGGACTCTTAACCACTGACTGGTTTATGGCTATCTGTTAATTCACTTTTCTCTTTTATGTAAATTATACGTTAACTGAATATACCTACTATAATTTTGCAAAAAATAACCTGTGAATGATAATACTAGCTGCACCGGAATTTTCCTATTCTCCAAAGGCTTTAATTCTGCAAAAGCCACGCAATGACAAATAGTATCGCTACTGGTCGGTTTCGGAGCCCGTCGTCTGTCTCGTCCGCTCGCTGGTATAATTTTTCGGTGGCCGGTGCGGCTTAAATTCGCTACCGCTGCCGCAATCGGGCTGCTGCTGCACCTCTGCAACGGGCGCGATAAATGCATAAATCAAAAAGGCACGTAATGAACACGTCGGAATAGGCTCTACTAACGCCCTGCCTCTGGCCCCACTCGTACCACAACCCCCTTCGTTCTGATTACGCCATACAGTGGTTTGTAAATTAGAAAATAGTATCTTTCATTTTTTATTTGATCCTAGCTGACCAGGAGTGGAATTCTGTAACTAAATAGCGACCGGTAGCCATGAAGAATACTGTCGCTTGCTGTTTAGTTTCTACAGCCAAGGTCAGTATTCTTCATCACTACCGATCGCTATTTAGTTACAGAGTTCCACCCCAGACTCACATAGTGACGTGAAGTGTTTTTTGTCAATCTTGTGATACGGATAACTGATTGACCGAATGATCTGGAAGGACTGAGACCAACCTAATTTATTTAAAAAAAATATTTTCTATATAATTTTTTCCGTGAAATTTCCGATATTTTAATATTTACTCTGCTACTGGGGGTGAAGACGAATCCAACAAAACAGAGATCATTAAAAATCGGTTGTCATTCTTGAATTATAGATGGTGTAAGTAACACGACTACTTTGTTTGATATATTCATTCTTGATATGCTTGGTCATGCTTGTTTTAAATCGATTAATCCTGTTTATATTTTTCCAAATTTTCTTATCGTTTTAAAGAATATTAAAAAAAACTTGAACATACCTATGATTGAATTTTCCTAATGAAGTCTTAAAAGTTAAGAGGGGTTTCTATAATTTCCATTTTAGTCTATAATAGATAATTATTAATTTTGAAGTTTGTTAAAGTTATATTCCTTGCTGTTGTTAAAGTATCATATTTCCTGATAAAAATGTTATCACCCTTTCCGTAAATAAATGTTGTGCCTCTTTAATATTTTAAAAGAGCAAAATATATGACATTAATTAAAATTCTATCAAAAAATGAAAAAGAAATTGAATTACCATGGAAACGCGTTTTGTTTTGAGGACTTTTTGAAATTTCAACCATGTCAAAATGTCAATAATAAACAAGTTTTTCCCTTTGTAAAGACAATCCGGGGACAGACTGTATATTATATTTTAATTACTTAATAAAATCAATCTTTGTTTGTTTGACGATGACTATTGACGATCATTCTTTAACGATAATTAATATTAACCTTTATTTTGCTAATCAATCATTAAAAATAAATAGTATTAATCTTCATTTGCTAATTAGTCGCTAATTAGTCATTTGCTAATTCCCCACCGAATCTGCATTCGCCGTTGTTTATCAGCTTCAGCCTACTGAGGTGTTCGTTGAGGAGACAGTGTCTTGTTAGAAACCCCGTGACAATCCGAAGATTGTTTTTACTTAAATCAAGGAAAACCTTTGATTTTTCTCGGTCGCAAGTTCTCAGGAACTTTTTTGAGTGTCTTAAATCTCCACCAAAGCAACATATGTCTACGACATTGTCATCAACTTTTGTTACTATTTTCATAAATATTGTCGAGAAATGTAGATCGTACCTACTAAAGATATTGTTGCTCGACTTCATTTTTCGACTAAAAAGCGAAAGTTTATTTAGTGTTTATCAACATGTCGAACGACGAGGATGTAATTATAATCTCAGACGCATTCCTTATTATTTTTGTCCTTTAAGAACATTAGCATATTGTATGCAAACCATTTTGGAGTGTACACTTTCCGTGCCCATGCCCGAACGTGTTGAATCTTTGGCTTTTTTACTTTTTTGTACTCTCTAAAAATTGTCCGGTGATATTTTTTATTTTTCTCTCAACTTCCACCCTCTCCACTTCTAAACTTTTAGCTGCAATATCATTCCAGGCATCATACTTTCTATTTCTGTTCTTATACCAAGTATGCTTAGCGTCCCAAAGTTCAGGGTGGGCTTGATATTTGTCAATCAGATTTCTTGTTTTATCATTGCTCCCCTCCATACCAAATTTATTTTTAACAACAGAATCAAAAACAAACTTCTGGCCTTGTGAACTACACGAGTACAAATGGCAAAATATACCCGATAAAGTTACTGATAGGAGTTGATTCGGTGGAGACGTCTTTCGACATGTTTGTAAACATTGTCGTCGACACGATTTTCCTTGGATATACCGCTCCTCAAGCGAAACATGAAACAAAGTCAGCGACTTAAATCTGCGACATAAAATGTTGACGACTTTACTGAATTTTCTAGTCGGCACTGTTGCTTTGGTGGAGACCCGGCTTTAGACCGTTGGAGGACACCCATTCCATGTTACGGATGGTTAGGTTGACATAACTCAACAATAGGTATGACATTCACATAACATTGACATTTTTCATCGTTTTATCGAAGTTTTAACCACATTTGACTATTACCAAATTATTAGATAACTGAGAAATTGCGATGTTGCCAATATGTG